TCAAGTCTTTAACTCCAAAAGATACATACAGGGTGATCCATTAGTGTGAAAAAGTACAATATCTCTGCCATTATTAGAGATATAAAAAAATATTTTCACAGAACGGTAGACAGCCTTAAACTACATATTTTAAAATTATTTTTGAATATACAGGGTGTGTAATAACTTCCCTCTGGAACAAACTTATGTTCTTTTTAATGGATCACCCTGTATTTTATTTTATATTTGAATTGCCCTCGCTTTTCCCATTCTAAAAATATAAACTATTATTGTTTTATACCGGGTATTTTGCAGGATATAATCAGTTTTGTATGAAAATCGTATTGAATTCAATGACCTATATCGTGCAAAAGAAACCATTGTTAACCAATTTTTCTTTCTACCACACTTTTTCAATCATGGTCAAATTTTATCCGGAGACATTACTTTTTTCAATTCGCATCAAATCTGTACAGGGTGAGTCAAAACACAAATACATAATTTTATCAATTTTTTTAAATGGTTCACCCCTTATTTTATATCATCGTTCAAAAGTATCCTAATTATACTTTAATTTGACTTAAGCATTCCCTATTCCAAAAGTTAATAGTTTTTAGAGATTTTTAAATTTTAGTGGTAAAAACGATAATTCAGAAACTAATTGATTGGAAATACATTTTATTTATCATTAGTAATTAATTGAATTTAACTTGAAGTAATTATTTATTATCGACTAAGTAAGTTTCTGACAATATGTAATGTCACTTATACATTTATTAGAAAAAGAAATAAACATTGCAACCACAAACTACAAATGAAACCTACTAAATTTTTTGTTCATTAATTTTTTTTTAAGTTGGCTTTGAAAACCCCCAATACTGACAGTTTGTTATTAAATGTCATTAGTGTTGCATTATTTGCTTTCTACAAAGTCTCGCCAGTTTTTATATTTTTAGGTATACTATCTCCTATTTAAGTTTGTTATGCCAATTCAGGGACCCTGATTTTTTAGTTATTTGCTTTATGTTTCTCATTTTCTTAGTTAAAGAAAAAAAAATTGCATGCTGTTGGTATCTATTGGTGAACTAGGCCTCCATTATAAGGATAAGATATAATAGAAAAAATTTAACTCATGCTCTTATGAATATCAGATTATGTAGCCAATGAGTGTTAATTAATTAGCGAAAAAGCCTTTCAACACTTAACATTACCGACATTCGCTTGAGTGCGTACACGAAAAATATGCAATTTACTTGACATAGATTTAAGGAAAATAAGAAATTTCACAACTTTAATAAATTTCAGGTCGAATTCCATAACTAAAATACTTGCATTACTTGCTAATGTTTAAGTGAAGTGAGAAACGGATTTAATGCACATTTTAATAAATTCAGTAATGATGGCCTATATAAGAACTATTTGAAAAATTATAATAGTATATTATTAGGAGTAGAAGGCGAACCTTAACTTGGCGTAATATTTTTAGCACTTTCGTCAAAAGAAAATTGTAATATCTTAATAAATGCAGATCATTATTATTACTAGCAACAAAATATTAATATTGTTATCTTATGAAAATAAGAGTGATCAATAGCAATATGCATATATTGACCACTATCAAGAAAAACATGTATTTTTAGATTGCTATATGTAACATTGTTAAGTCATTAAAGACGCAGGTTGACGACGTATATCTGTAAACCTAATTAGTTCTTGCTACTAACGCAGTACTTCAAGGTATATGCAGCAATTTCACTGATGTCTTGGGCTTTAATTTTGTATTTCTTATTAGGCATTCCAACAACCTGTCAAATAATAGCTGCCAGTGGGAAGGTCTCATATATCTAAGGGAATAGCGACATAGTCTTGCATCTTGGATGCTATTTTTATTCGAAAAAGTAGTTGCCAAGTTTGCCAATTTATGAAAACTGCATAAGCGGTTTTTTTTAAATAATATTTTTGTGTTGAACATAAAATATTTAAATGTAATCCATTATTCATGATTTGACGTATTGTAGATAGAATACATCGTATGTCGCAACCCTTGGATATACCAAACTATCCTACTGACAATTGTACATTGTAAAAAACCGCTAAAAATGTCAAAAAAACGCGAAAAATTGCATTTATGCAAGCGGAAATTTTTTTTCTCGGCATTAATCAAATTTAATTCTTACGTTTTTAAATGTGCTAAATACAAATCTGATGTTGATTTAGCTCGTAGACCCTTTAAATTTCGAGAAAATGGCAAAAATCGCCATAAACGGCTAGAAATCGCTAAAAATTGCAATTATGCAACCAAAAAGTTTTTTCGAATATATATCGATCCGCTAAATCCAAATCTAAGGTTCTTTTAGCTCGTTAACAATGCAAATTTAAAGTAAATTGCAAAAAACCGCTTGAAATCCAAATCTGAAGTCGGTTTGGATTCTACGCTTTCCACCTTAGAGTAAATTGCGAAGAACCGATAAGAATATTAAAAAATTGTAAAAGATAGTCCTAAAGTAGTAGATAATATCAAAAAATAGTATTGTTCTTACTCACTTTAATGAACTAAACATGATTCTTTTCAAATTAAACAATAAAAATAATAAATTGTATTTAAAACTTTAAAAAAATCTGGTATCGACCTCTTTTTTATTCGAATGTTCTGTGCAGTGGGTTTCTTTTTCGATTATATCGGGTCATATCCCTCATCAAAGTCCAACAAAAATCGGCCATCATGTTGACGTTCCACCTTCCTTGATACCGATTTTCCATTTCACTTATGTCTTGGTAAAAACGATCTCCTTGTTCTTCAGTGTAGTCTCCAAGATTTGGAGGAAAATAGTCAAGATGGGAGTGAAGGAAGTTTTAGTAATTCTCACTTTTATCATTTCCAAAAAAATTCTGCGAAAGGTTTTGAAGCTGCTTTCTCAGTGTCATTCATTTGTTCGATGACATTTTCATCTCTAAATAAGCTTCGAATTTGTGTAACATCGAAAATCCCATTTTTCAACTTGGCATCGCTTATTGAGGAAAATGTTTCTCTTAAATACCGAATACGACCGCCTTCTTTATCTAGAGCCTTAACAAACTGCTTCATAAGACCAAGTTTAATGTGTAGTGGTGGAAGCAGGTATTTAAAAGGGATCAATCAACGGTGTTTTTATCAGGATACACATACTAAAGGCATGTTGACTTTCGATTCAAAATTCGTCCAAACCGCGCATGACGTAATGCGGGACGAACTTTAAAGTTATTTTGACATTTTTCGATTGAGTAGTGTAAAATAATTTAATAACTTATATGTTTTTGTGTTAGTAGTGAGTATATTTTCCTATATATAACAGGGAAGAACTAAATTAATGTTTAAAATGCCGGGCTGCGCAGTGGATATATTTCCGAATGCCTTAAAATATGGATAAATTCTTATCGAAGAAAGGACAAACTTAATTGAAATTGCCCTATCCATTTTGAGGAAAGTAGTTGTGAGATTCCTCTTAAACCTAGACGCAAGAAAAGAAAACTGAATTACACCAGGTGCACGGGCCTCATTAAGCAAAGAAAATAAATAGGTATTTAAAAATTTTAGCAGATAAAACAGTAGTTCTGTCCCAATACAACGGTCCTTTTGAAGTAATTCCATGCATGAGCAGGATACGAACATATACGGGGTGTTCAAATTAAAGTGTTACAGCTATATACCGCCTTTTATAAAAAAAACGTTTCAGACAAAAGTTTTATAGTTTTGTGAGGAAAGAATTTTGGTTAAAATCGTTTTTTATAGCTAACCATAATATGGCCAACTTTTTTTTTCGCCTAGCAAAATTTTCAAGTAGCTCTTACTCAAAAAGTAAAAGTCAAATAAAAAGAATATTTTTTTCAAGTTTCTTATTTTTTTATGTACTTTAAGAATATGTAAAAATAAAATGGGGTTCCAATTTAAAATAAACAAAGTCCACCTCGATATGGCCATATTATGGTCAGCTATAAAAAAATAAATTTAGCCAAAATGTTTTCCCCAAAAAACTATATAACTTTTGTCTGAAACTTTTTTTTCTAAAATGCATATTTTCGGAGGTATTTAACTGTAACACTTTAATTTGAACACCCGGTATAAGAATAAGATAAATGTAACAGGAAAATTGGTTTTGAGTATTTTCAAAGTAAACTTAACAAAAAAATGTTTAAATTTACCAAATAAAAAGTAATGTTTTTGAGAACTACTACGCCCAGAAAGTACAAATTTAAGTCAAACTTGTATTTTTAGTCTATATCTTTTACTTATCTTAAGGCCAGGTTATGGATTTTGTCACAAAATACCTATAATTTATGAGAAAAATTAATAATTTTATTAGTATTATTTACCTTAAACCTTCATATTTGTAAACGAATATATTAAAAAATAACCAGTAAAGCTTAAGTAACTGCATAAAATCTAAAATTGGCAAAATATCGAACACTATCTCCCATTTAATGCTTATAATTCAGTCAGCTACATGCGCAGGAACATACCGTTAGTCTGTGTATCGTGGTTTTTATGACATTTTTAGGACTTGGATTAAAGCAGGGAAATTTTGTAAATTTTGATTGTTGGCCCAAAAGTATCATTCCAATTTTTAAATCACCACAGACTTTCCATTGATGGTTCAAGTACTTTATTTTATCCAAAACCATCTTCAAATTTTCATAAGTCTATTTGTTGAATGCGCTATTGGAATGGGTGTATAAACATTTCCATTATAAAATAGAACAGCTTTGAGACTCCTTCTTGATGAATCAATGAAAAATCGTCACTTATTGTCTTTATATATTTGTTTGGTTTTAATTCATTTTATAAACCTTTTACATCCGAACAGTATATACTAATGAGTCTCTTTCTCTTTATCATTTGTAAAGAATTGTCAAAACTCTTTTTCTCTATCGCGATAATAGTAAGCAGATGTTCTATTAGCAAATAAATTTTTCTTTTTTAATATCACCGCTAGATTAACCTAAATCTCGAAAGAGATCCATTCAGTTCACTTTGGTAGAAGGTTTCAAGTTTTTGTTTCATCTTCCGGTAAGTATTCTTTATCACCATCTTCATATTCCGGTAAGTATTCTTCATCTTCCGATAAGTATTCTTCATCTTTATCTTCGGGACTATCTTTTTGAAAAACCTCGTCCACTAGCATTTCTTCCTCTTCTACATTCATCTGTTTGGAAGTACCAGGTACATCAACAACTAGTATTTTTGCAGGTTTTACAATTGAATCAACGTTGGCGTACTCGATTTTTGATTTGGTAGTAGAAGTAAAACCGGTGATATCCGTTATGCAAAAATAGCAGTTTCCTTCATTTCTAGGAGCAGACCATATCATTGGTTTGGTGAATGGAAACTTGTCCTTACATTTGGCATTTTTCCATCGTGTCTTCATAAATATACATTAATTTGGCCTTCGGTATTTAGCTACCATAAATTCTCCACAAACATAACAAAACCAATAAGGGCTTTTATTACATAGGTGGGAGTTACTTCTTGTAACATAATACCCTACAGAAGCCAAGTTACCCACTAATGTAGAGCTGCAGTCGCTTGATGATGACGCCTGTGGGCATGTTTTCTGCATCGTAAAGTACTTATTACTTGTACCTGCCATGATGGCACATACGCCGTTAACCCAGGGACTCTGCCAACGGTGCTGTTGCCACCGTCACCACGTGCAGGTGCCTTTATTACAGTAACAAGTGATGGATCCCTCAATAATATCTTCTTCACACCTGCCTATATTCCTCCAAATCTTGGAGACTACAGTGAAGAACAAGGAGAGCGATTTCACTAAGACATAAGTAAAATGGAAAATCGGTATCAAGGAAGGTGGAACGTCAACATGATGGCGGATTTTTGTTGAACTTTGACAATTTGTCGAAAGCGTCAACGAACTTTTCGCTCAAAATGCACACATGATTTTTACTATATCGTAAGTAGTGTATAATGTGAATGTGTTGCATATATCTACATTATTAATGGAAAAAGGAGTTGATATTCAGTCAATGTTAACTTGGATAATAAAATAAAATAACATCAAATTACGTACAAATAACTTCAAAATCGTTTATAAAAAAGAAATATTATTATATTATTTTTAATTTAAATTAGGCAAGCGACAAAGCTGTCAAGTGTTTCGCTCGGCGAACGACAAAGCTGTCACTTAATGCCAGTTCGCGGTTGAGTTTCGAAGCGAAAAAACCTACTTTGAATAGTGATCGTAGAAAAATACAATTTTTCGCGATTTTTTGCCATTTTTAGCGGGTTTTTACAATTTACTCAAAATTTTGGACCTCAAATTTGGATTCAGCACATCGAAATATATAACCCTAGGTGGGTCTAGTCAAATGTACTGACCACGTATTTTTTGTGTGCCGGTGATTATTGTTAGGAATTCACTTGCAGGTCTGTACGTAACACTTTTGTACATAGTGAACCAACTTATTTCTAAAACTGATGTGCATAAGTGAAAATATATGTATGCAGGGACGCGCCTTCCATATGGGCAAGGTTGTGAGACGCAAGACGAAGCCTATACATAACGGTTCCATCAGACACACGCATAATTACTTTAAAAGCGTTATTTTAAAATTCACAACATATTTACATTAAAAATAAAGATGCATTAAAAATAGAAGTTCTACTACTCCATTCTCTCCTAACAACAATAGACACATCATATTACATTAAAACAAGTTTATTTAAACTATCACCAGGTGGAATAAACGAGTTGATGTACTAATCCATCTAAGATTTCAGTTAGGACTTTTATCGATCAGGTAAAGGTTTTAATGACATTATCGTAGAGATATGCCATCAATTAGCATCGTATTTGGAAATAGATGCCACATTCAAAAGTCAAGAAACTCTAAAGGAATTAAAAAACAAGGTCAACTGATTGTTTTTTAAATGGCTGACATCACCATATCATCTGTAAATTAAAGATTTGAGCTTTTATCCTCTCATTCTGACTTTATCAAATTTTTATGGAATATTGATGAATTTGGCAAGTATTGTGAGCAAGACCAATTTAATTTATATGAACAATTCTAAGAATCTGTAACTGATAAAAATGAAAACTAAAAGACAGAACTTATTTTACAAGTACAGAGAGAGAAAAATGAGTGGTGCAAATAATTAGAAATAATATTATTTTATATATTTATTGCTAAAATGTATTTCAACTTACCATTCAAATATTGTAAAAATGTTTATTAGTTGAATATTATAATTCTTACGACAAGATAACTACTCTAACAACTATAATATGTATTGCTCTCGTAAATATACTAGTTTAGTACATATTAAAGTATTAAATTGTAAAATAGGCCATGTGGTTTTATAGTAATTACAATTATTTTCATTAATTGTTATAACTATTACCGTTGCAATTATAATTTTATCTCTATTACCATTTAAGATATATCCATATATGAGATATTGATGTTTTACTATACAGTATTACAAATTTAAATAAATTAAATGGTCAATACTGCTTGTTGTAAAATTGGTTTTACCATATTTAATATTGATAATTAAAATACTGTTATAATAAATAATATAAATTTATTTTCATTTACAGTTATAAAAATGTTGTCTACTAAAGTTATAAAGGGAAGTGATGGTAATATTGAAATAAAATATATTTAAAATATATTTTTGTTTCAAAAATGAAAAATGACTGTACCGTTACGTCCGTCTTTCTGGCTTATTCTTAAAGTATTTTAAGTTGTTCTTGTTGGTATATATTTTTTTTAACCTACTTCAAAAAAGGAGGAGGTTCTCAATTCGTCGCAATATTTTTTAAATTTTTTTTTATGTATGTTTAGCGATAATTCTTTAACACGGTATCCGATTTCAACAAAGGGGGTACTTCAGGGGTGGTCCCATGTAAATTTGGTCAAAATCTAATAATTGGGTCCATGAGAAAATCCTCAAACTCTTCATTTTTTATGTATGTTTAGCGATAATGATTTACCACCTTGTCCGATTTATATGATTCTTTTTTGTTAGTAAGGGGGTACCTCAGGGGTGGTCCTTTATAAATTTGGTTAAGATGTGGTGATGGAATCTGCACATTTTTGAAGTCGGTTTTTTTAAATTTTGAATTTATAATTGTTTTGATATTTGGTACACATGTTTTGTATGCATTGCCCAAACAAATACTGTAGTAGCCAGAAGAACAATCTAAGTTCGAATGATTAGTATTATTATTATCATCAGAATAACACCATAAACAGTTTCTTCGGATAAGTGAAACGACTCCTAAAAAAGGTACAGAAGTCTCGATTTAAATTTATTTTTAGTGTTCAGCTTGGTTAAAAACGAATTTTCAACATAACAGTTTTGAGAAATCACAGATGTCTTTTTTTCTTCACAGTTGCAGATATGACCAAAAGTTATTAAAAAAGTTGTTTAGAATCACCATACCAAATTTGAAAATACTTTGATTTTCCATTTATTTTATCAATATGAAAGATCAAAATGAGGGATATGGACTTAAATATTGATTTCAAACAACTTTTCTAAATAACTTTTTGACGTATTTGTTAACGAAAAGCTAATATCTTGATAAAATAAATAAAAATATATATGGTGATTTAATACAATTTTTCTAAACAACTTTTGGTCATATCTGCAACATAAAAGGCACTATACTCTACTTTACTCTAGGAATAAATAGGTTTTTTTATAAATTACCAGGTCATCCTTGATTTCTCAAAACTGAAATTATTTTGAAAATTAGTCTTTAAGCAAGGCTGAACCCTAAAAAATTTAAATTTAAATCGAGAAATTTGTACATTTTCCAAGAGTCGTTTCACCTATCCACGGACACACTATATATAAAAAATTTTAAAATTCGTTTACATATTTGAATTCTTTTTATTATTGGCCAGACAATAATTTTAGTGTCTGTTCAGAAAATGTGCTATGACCAGTTTAGTTCAAACTAAGCTCACGGGGATTCTCATAGCAACCAAAGAAATTACCAGAAACAATATCACTGGAAGTAACATGGAAGTAACAGACAGCAGACAAGCACTACTCACCGTGGACGAATTTATTCTGCTTGCAGACTGAGGATACATTTTCAAGTAAAATTGCTTGCTTGTATGTGCTAGTAGCTTGAAGGCGGAGGATATATTTGCCAGTTGCAAGTCTTCAGGAACAGAAGAAGAATAAGATTAAAAATATGTATCGTTATGAGAAATCTGTATCATAATATTATTTTCGATTTTTCAAAGATAATCGAATAATCAATTTTAAAGGAAATATGAAAAAAAGATTATTTGAAATAATCGATAATTCGTTTTTTTTTGGAAAATCGATTTATCGTAGAATCGGCTTCTTAATTAATTGATTATTTTCGATTCATCGATTATTTTTGATTAATCGATTATTTTCGAATGATCGATTATTATCGAATAATCGATTATTTTCGGTATTTCAAAGATAATCGAATAATCGATTTTAAAGGAAATATAAAAAAAGAATATTTGATAATAGTCGATTGATCGAAAGTAATCGATTATTTAAAATAATTGATAATTCATTTTTGTTTTAAATCGATTTATCGGTTAATCGGCTTTTTAATTAATAGATTATTTTTGATTAATCGATTATATCCGATTTTTAAATTATCAAATAATCTGTTTAGATGGAAATACGAAAAAAAAAAAATTACTAGAAAATAATCTACTATTTAAAATATTCGATAATTCGTTTGTTATTTTTTGGAAACATCGATTTATATCGGTTTTTTATTTATTCAACTATTTTCGATTTTTCAAAGGAAATACAAAAAAATGGTTTGACAATAATCAATTGATCGAAAATAATCGATTATTTTCAATGATTGATAATTTATTTCGATAATCGCCCACCCCTAGCAACCAAATGACTTTTATTAGAAATATACATTTCTAGAGATTTATGTGACCGTCCTCTATATTAATTAATATATCTAATGAAAGAAGATTTAATATACTTTTTTCTGATTTTATTATACAAAACAGCATTTTCTTATTTTGACTAATTTTTAATACTATGTAATAGCAGTAGCAAAAATATAATGTTTAAATCACAAGGTTTGATTTGCAGTAGACAATGAGTACCATTCCTTGCTCGAATGACAATATTTTATTTCAACATTTTATTGTAGTCCTTAGTAAATAAACACCAATGAAATATTCTATAAAACAACTTTTGTCTTTTCTTTACATAAAATGTCATTGCATTTGTTTGATATTAAAAATCACGTTAATTTTATTTCATAATACAACATTCAATTAAACACCTTTTTAGTAAATCTAAATAGTTCACTCCGTTAACCTTTCTTTAAAAATTGGCAACACTCGCGCAGGTTAAACACCGGTGTGTGTTACATCTCCGGTCTCTAAGATATAAACTAACAAACTTTATTGTCTTTTCATTTCTACACCGAAACATGATGATAAGGTAGCAGAACGATAAATAAAAAACTACTCATTACGACGATCACAACTTGCATGCGAGTACTGGCATGCTAATACCTGTCGTCTCTGGTTCACACATTTAATTTGGCATGCATTTTGTATTCCCCACCACCCAACTTGCACATTGTATGTCAAAAAATCCGGTCTAATCTACTTGTATACAAGTTACTTGCATTCAAAAATTAACCTAAAGCACATTCAAGTAACTGGCATGCAAGTGTACAAGCTACGGGGATGTGTATGTATTTCCGGCTTATAGGAATCATTCTACAACAGATAAATCTTATGACAATACAGTACATCAGATTGGCCATGGTATTTAAGCGATGCATGTAAATCGTTCTATGAACTTTGGATATTACATTTTCTGGCTCTAAATTACCGATTAATAGGAACATGCATATAACAGAGAAAGGCCGCTGTCAATGAGCATCGATACGACTTCGAGTTCTCTTCTTTCCACTACATATATAGATTAATTCGTGACGAGTTACGTCGTTTTCTGTCTGTTATGTGCATGTTCCTATTATACCTTGTTCAACTTATTGTAAGGTTAAACTGAAGGGTAATGAGATTAAATATCATTTTCCTTGTATTAGATATTTAAAATCTTTACCTAAATTTAAATCTCAAACATTTATATCAATCTTTGTTTGTATCAACAATATTTTCTGTACGCTTGTATATGTCTCTGCCAAAACTCTTACTTGCTACAGGTAAGCACCGATAATGACTATTAAATCCAAAGAGCTATGCTAATAAAAACACTTTGCATTTTACACGAAATACTCCGTCTTTCTTCATCTTCTTTTTAAGGTTTACTTTGAAAAAAAATATTTTGATTTCATGAATAACAATTAGGCTTTCTACAGCCGCTTACCGAATACAAATGAATATTAATCTAATAATTTCTTGGCGGAAACTTTAAAAATATTTGTAACCAACTAATGAGTTGCTAATAATTAAATTAGAGCTATATAAACCTTATTAATTAAATAGAAATAATGAGATATTACATGGTTACTTGGATAAATGTATGCACATGTGCTTCTATTCTTCTTTACTACTATAATAGCGAGTTACGTAAATTTATCTAAAGAAATTGCCTGTGGAACAAGACGAGATTTAGTACCTATCTAATAATTATAACACGTTTTATATGCAACCTTGCCTACCCTGTACGATGAGCTGGATGATTCATATTTTTTTTCTTCATGCACACTTAATGTCAAGAACAGTTACCATTTTATACTTCCTTTCGATTAATGTTGTGTATTTCATAAGTCAATTATGTGTGTGTTAAGAAATCGATTAGTTGATTACATATAAAATAATCTGTTATTCTTTTTCCCTCAGGCAAACTACTTTCGAGCCACTCAATATTGTCGATTCCACGGCATGCATTTAGCGAGCATAACGTCTCAAGAAGAAAACGACAAATTGGAGAAATATATAAAAGATTCAGGTATGTCCGCGAAAATGTGTTAAAAGTGTGTGTTTACAGACAAGCGACAACTAACTAACAAGTCTTCAACAATGCCCGTATACCACGTAATCTGGTAAAATCATAAATTTAATGAAAATTGCCGTTTTTAGTGGCCTTTATGACAACATATTGTTGAATCACGTCAAATACGTCAGTACCATTGTTTTAGGGACGTCAATTTGGTCTCTTAGGATACAGGTATTGTTAATGACTCTATATAATGTTAAAGTTTTAATTTCTATACCATTTTAAAATTAACATAGATCAACAAAACGCAAAATATTCAAGTTTTCATTTTTTCGAGGGTTGGTCCCTTTTTGCTGCCCCTCACTCATTTATAAATCAAAATAATTATTTATCTTTACGTCGCATTGTAACCTGACACGCTAGAAAATTACAAGTGTAAACCTGTTAAAGTGTGCCTAGAGTAGACGCCCGAATTAGAAAGTCACATATGGGGTTGCCAGACGTCACGCTTTTGGCGTATTTGCCACGCTTTTTGACTTGCTTGTACGCCCAACGTACAATACGAAAATGCCCCGCTTTTGACAAAAATGCCACTCTTTTTATGCAAAAGCCACGCTTTTTAATTTAAAAGCTGCAGAGGAACCGGATTTATATAAAAATAGACAAATGTCCGGGTAAAAGACACTCGTTTTTACGAAAAATAAGCTGAGGACCTTTTTTTTAGAAATGTTCACAAAAATGGACCTGATTATATAAAAATAAATGCTTGGTATTTGAACCTAATGCTCTGTCGTAACGGTTGTCACAGTTGTCACAGTTGTCACAGTTGTCACAGTTGTCACAGTTGTCACAGTTGTCACAGTTGTCACAGTTGTCACAGTTGTCACAGTTGTCACAGTTGTCACAGTTGTCACAGTTGTCACAGTTGTCACAGTTGTCACAGTTGTCACAGTTGTCACAGTTGTCATAGTTGTCACAGTTGTCACAGTTGTCACAGTTGTCACAGTTGTCACAGTTGTCGCAGTTGTCGCAGTTGTCACAGTTGTCACAGTTGTCACAGTTGTCACAGTTGTCACAGTTGTCACAGTTGTCACAGTTGTCACAGTTGTCACAGTTGGCACAGTTGTCACAGTTGTCACAGTTGTCACAGTTGTCACAGTTGTCACAGTTGTCACAGTTGTCACAGTTGTCACAGTTGTCACAGTTGTCACAGTTGTCACAGTTGTCACAGTTGTCACAGTTGTCACAGTTGTCACAGTTGTCACAGTTGTCACAGTTGTTACAGTTGTTACAGTTGTCACAGTTGTCACAGTTGTCACAGTTGTCACAGTTGTCACAGTTGTCACAGTTGTCACAGTTGTCACAGTTGTCACAGTTGTCACAGTTGTCACAGTTGTCACAGTTGTCACAGTTGTCACAGTTGTCACAGTTGTCACAGTTGTCACAGTTGTCACAGTTGTCACAGTTGTCACAGTTGTCACAGTTGTCACAGTTGTCACAGTTGTCACAGTTGTCACAGTTGTCACAGTTGTCACAGTTGTCACAGTTGTCACAGTTGTCACAGTTGTCACAGTTGTCGCAGTTGTCGCAGTTGTCACAGTTGTCACGCTTTTCACTTTCGGAAATCTGACAACCCTAGTCACATATCACTATCAAAATGGATTGTGTCAAGCAAGGAGCAGTGATTAAATATTTGCGCTTAAAAGAGATGAGCCCAATGCAAATTCATAAAGATTTGGTGGATACATTGGGGGATTCTGCTATATGAAATGACGTAGTTAAAAGGTGGTGTCGTGAGTTTAAAAGACAGTCGTGTACAGACGAACATGCAGGTGGAACGCCCATAACCACTACTATTCAAGAAAATGTTAATTAGACAAATAGTTGGAGATATTGGTTTTTTATACCATGTGGTATACACTAAACTTACGGCCGAATTGAACATGAAAATTTTTTTTGCAAGATGGGTATCACGAACAATAACAGATGCAGCAAGCTAACTCAAAAAGAGAAAGACTAAAATACAGAGTAAGGAGTGGACATACCGAGGTTCACCATCGCCGAAAAAATTCAAGATGCAACCTTCAGCAGGAAAGATTATGCTAACCGTATTTTGGGATTTAGAAGACGTAATTTCAGTAGATTTCGTGCAAAAGGGAGTCACAAATATAGGTTCTTATTATGTCAATTTAATTTCAAAATTAGTTGTTCCATTGCATCAGGATAATGCACCCAATCATAGATCCTTCATTGTAACAGCAGGCTGCGAATTAGTTGAGCATGCGCCTTGTTCTTTAGATTTGTTTCCTAGTGAAAACAGACTGTTTCAAAGAATACTTGCATGGTATTTAAGGAGTTTAAATTCTATGACAGGTTTCGCCATAATTAGGGTTCTTTAGATTAGTTCGAATAATTCTCATAGTTGCTTAGAGATTCTAATCAGACTGACTGCTTTTGCCTGCGAACACGCAATATAACACATGTCCATTAGAGCATACAGTATGTTAAGTAGCCTACAATTAGGCCAGAAGAACGGAATAGAATAAGCGATGGTATTGATTAATTGATTGGAAAGGAGTAGAACAATTTGATATTGTGGCGTATAGCCCTGATTCTGCTTTATCACGATCATCACGATCACAAGCATAAAAGGTTTTACTCTTTTGAGTCTGCGCACTAGATCTTGATTGTCTAAAAGTTGGAGAACTTTAATGATAATGTGTTTGTGCAGACTCCTCATGTCTCTTGGCCAGTTTCTTAATTTCTTCTGGAATTGATTTAATTTGGAGTTCTCGGTGCAGGTCTTTGTTCTGACCTTACCAAGGAGCATTAACTATGTTCTTGAGAATTTGGTTTTGGACTATTTCTAGGCAGTTGTAATCAGTGGCGGCTCATGCCTTAGCACATAGGTGGAATCACGGATTAACATTTTCGGGTGCCTAGCCCAGATTTTGACTTGAAGTCGTTAAAAAGCATATCTTGGGTAATATTTTAAAGTATATTAACGTGCGCAATTATCATTTTTACAAAATAATAAATAACATATAAAAAACTTACCAGAATTTAGCTTTGAATAGTAATTTATTGCACTCCAAACCTATACAGTAAAATAAAGAATATTTTTACATTGAACGATATTTTTTGAAGTCTAGTCTTCGTCCTGTTTTATTAGCGAAAAGGTCAATCACTGGTCTATTAAAGTCGTCAATGTTATTTAGAAACACTTTTTCTGCTGATAACATTCCTAGCGCACTTAGTCTTTCTTCTTTTATTGAGTTGCGTAAAAAAGTGTTCATCCTCTTTAACATAGAGAAACATCTTTCAGCTTAGGATGTTGACATAGGTGTTGTCACTAAAACTTCCAGTAATTTAATAGTTTTTTAAAAAGTGTACTTCATATCTTCCTGCGAAAATAATGATAACAGAGAGGAATGGCTCCAGAAATGGTTTGCAACTCTTCTCTTTCGTAAAGTACTTGCAGTTCTTTTTCTAGACGATTTTTTTCTAGAAATTGATGTGCGTTAACTGTATCAGAGAGCCATTGATCAGGAAAGTTTTTTTGATATTCGATAAAATGTTCTTTCATGAATAATACTATAGCTACAAGATGTCCTGTGAAAGTGAATCGTGTCCTAATCTGTTGTATAATGGAATCGCAAACTTCCAATGCTTCTATTTTTCTATTTGTTGAAACAGATAGATCGGAACGAGGGTAATGTCGCCTTTTCTGAGGAACAAGTTCATTTTCGGTTTCTAAAAGCTCCGAGTCTATTTTGTCAATAATTTTATCCATTTTATTACGAATTTTTTGCATTGCATTTTCAAAGTTTTTAAGATCTTGTTTAATGAGCGAATAAAATCCAAACAGACGCATTAATTGAACCTGCACTGCTCATTATAAGGTTAATCTGATGTGCATAGCAATGAACATAATTTGCTAAAGAATATTTATCTTTAATTATTTTTGTACCCCATTCATACCTCTGCTCATGACTGGCGCTCCGTCGTAACTCTGCGCGATCAACTTATTTGGTGTGTCATTAATTAATGGATTAATTTTATTTAAAATGCAATTTGCTATTGAAATGGCATTGTGTCCGGGTACATGGTACGTCAATATTGGAAAACAAACTTCAGATTCAAGCAGTTCATTCTCTTTAACAGGCTTGATGTAACTATCAGTTTAAGTACAAACACAAACCAAAAAGAAAAGTTTAGAGAAATCACACATGATATCTAAGAGTTGTTTTTTTATAAAATCTGCATACCTAACTTGGAAATCTATGAGTTGTTTTTTTTATTAAATCTGCAGACCTAACTTGGAAATTCATAATCAAGCATAAAGTTTGTAAAATTAAAAAAAATTCAAAACACTTACATTGGTTGTTTTATGTAAAACCAGAAAGTAAGACAAATTTTTTTAAAAATAAGTGCAACGATTTAAACTTAAGCATGTTTTTTAATTTCTATATCATTTTTTTAATAATAATTGTATAGTGCTGTAGACCTAATTCACATTATAACATTTATAAAACGTTTCAGAGCAACTTTCGGGGAGAGTAAAGTAAAAGTACTAGTGTGATGTTTTACGAACTTCACTTGAGATGTGCTATAAAAGTCTTGCCGTTGTGGATATTCGGCGGTTGCATGGATATTAGGGTTACATTAAAAGTACATTGCATGCAAGCTTAAAGAACCTAAAATTGCAGCTTATTAACGTAGATGGGATGTTTTTGTGCAAGAAGAGAATCCATTTCCTATTGGGCTTTATCGTGATTTATACATTTCCATTATTTATCGCACTATTCTTCATACTAGGTGACCATACCAGTTTAATTGTTTCTGTTTGATCTGTGTTCTGTTTAGTTATTATTCTCATATCTTCATCCCTTACTCTGTCCCACTTTTTTTGTTATTTTTCTTAAATATGTATTTAATTTTCATTGAATTTACTTTTATCTCCTGTTCTTTCTGTAGTACCCAGTTTTCACTAGCTTAAATTATTGTTGATACTGTAATTAGATCGTGAATTTTTATTTGTGTGTCAGTATCAATAATCTCTTTATGTCCTAGTATTGTTTTTTTAGGGAATAGTATGTTCTGGTTGATTTATTTGTCTTGTTTGTAAGTTCCACGACAAGTCTTTCTTCTTCTGTTAATATATTTCCTAGGTATTCATAGGTTGTTACTCTTTAGTTTCATCTCGAACTATATTTACTTCCATTCTCATGTTTTCTATTTTTATTGTCAATATTTTTAATAATTGTTGTATTTTGTTTTTTAATTTTACTATCAGTACTAAGTCATCTGAATATAGTAAGGCTCCAAGTTTTTGTACCCTATTATCGTGTCTAAGTTTTCTCCTTGTTCTTTTAGAGTCTTGACTGTTCCGTCCATTATGAATAGCATTGGAATAAGACTCTTTTTTATACGTTTTTCCATTAAAAAGCTTCTTTGATTAATCCTCCTAACTATACTCTTACTTTAACAGACTCATATATACTTTTAGTTATATTGATTATATATTTTGATCTCTTAGGTCACTGAATGCTAGGTATAAGTCTTTTTATTCTTCTATATTTCTTTTCATTACTCTTCTATTATAGATAAACATGTTGTCATTTGTCTGTTTTTCTGGTCTAAAAGCTGCTTGTTCCTCTTTTAATTTTGATTCTATTCTTGTGTAAATTTTAAAGCTGGGTTATATATTAGTCTGTATTGAATGTTGGTTATTACCAATTTGTTATTAATATTTAAAGTTGTTTTCCAAATCTTTTGGACTTTTGCATTAAAATCAAAAAATATTTAATCTATAATTTTTTCTAAAAATGTCTCTTTAACACTTTATTGGAAAATATGTCCCTCAATAAGTAAGTAAAATATCTATGTAACTTTATTAAATTCACTAAATATTTATTCTCCACTACTGTCAATTCATGCAAAATTGTAATAATAAAAGTAAGATTCTCTATGTTTTAACTACTCCAAAAAAGGTAGTTAAGTAAACGTAATCGATGACAGCTATTTAATGAATGAGATTTGTAATAATGCTATAACAACATAATGCTTTTGTGTATCGACCTGAATACAAACTCAATTGCTAGCCTTCCTATAGTTCTATATTTGGTAGCAATTATTTCTGCTCCCTTTAGGCTACCTACTGACTAAATAGTGTGATTAGCATGCTATACCTCCATTTCCTATTATCTTCAGCTTTCTGTTTGTTGGTAAATAGAATTGTAAATAATAAATTTTTAAATAATAAATAATAATAAAGCAATTATTAAATTATTATTTAGGTCAGTCAATTATTTGTACAGGAAGTTGGTATAAATTTGTTTTAAATGGAGTTGAAAGTTAAATTCAAACAACATTTACATTTAAAATGAAAAATAGTTTGGGAATTACGGGCAATACTTTTTCTATGACCAGTTACGAAACTTAAACATAGCACACTCTCTTGTTCTTTAGAAAGTAGACCAAAGTGTTCACAAAAAAAATTGTGTGACAATTATATCTATATTATAACGTATGTATGAGGATGAGGTGAAAAATAAATAAGTGCCATGAGTCGCTTCATATTTACTTTAACTCTAACCCTCCTAACTCGGGAACCTGGGTACCCGAACGGACTTTGAAGTGAAATGTTTTCAGACCAAAAAAGTTACAAATTTGAGTTTCCATGACATCTTAAAAATCGTTGTTTTCTAGTCCTTACCCTCCTGTTAAGGGTACCCGGGTACCCGTAAATGTTTTAATACATTTTGTATGAAGAATGTAAAATAAAGAGAAATTTTTGGTATGTTTTTGTTTTTGTTTATGTTTTATTGATTATTAAGAACTATAAGTTATTTTACAACAATGTTTAGTACTATAAGGATATAAAAGAGAAAAAAAAACAGCAAATCAGCAGCTAATGGATCGTGGTGTTATGATTTTACTGTATGTGTTGCACATTTGCCGCTTACAGCGTGTCTTTCAGTCAGATTTGGGATTAGTTGCCACGCAAAGGTAGCAACGACCCTTCGCCGGCAACCGACCAGTTTAATCTTGCTCAGTTCTACCCGATGGGCCCGCAGCGTCCTGACAAACTGGCTTAGCGATTTTTTTTGTTGCGATCCACCTTTGTTTCGCAAAACATTTTGTGATTGAGTTTGAACACTTGGTAGCTCTTGGGAATACCATTCAGTCTGGTCAGTTGCTACATTCCTCAGTAATAACAGGAACTTCGCCACGCAGTTCAAATTTGTCGTCTTCTTCTTCCTCTTCAGGCTCAACGACACCTTCCATTTCTATATCCGAGACTTCATCTTCATCAGGGACCCATTTCTCATCACTACCACACTTATACTCGATTGGTTACATTGTTTTGTCGTCTTCTACTTCCATTTCACACAAGATATTAATATCTTCGGCGGTCAAACTAATCCAAAGTGACAAAAAATAAATTAAATAATAGTCAATAAAATAGTCAATTTAACTTACGCGGATATATTTAGATAACCATTTCTCCATGACAAATGGCCTATATTCCTCGATGATGATACATTTCTGGTTTTTGGAGATTGCGCAGGGTCAGATGGCCCAGCAGCACATGGTTTAGCACTAGATGATGGCCTTGCACCAGAAGATATGCCTTCAGACAGTTCAATTTCCATAACAGATGCATTACGTTTGCGCGACATCTAAAAAATTGAATAAAACCAAAATATACCAAGCAACACGAACTGTGAATGCGAAGAGAGAAACAAAACGACGCGCTTACACACAATATCAAGGCAAAATCTACGCTATGACTCTTTATGTTTCCATATAAAATACAAACGGGTATCCGGGTACTCTTATCAGGAGTCTACGAATGTAACCAGGACGGTTAGGGTTAAAGCTGCTACACATACACTTGCATCTCTTAGTCCCGCCGTACATATGCCCACAGAGTGTTGCCAATCAATTTTAAAAGAAATTCTCATGCACGCACATGCATACACAAAATAGCAAAATAGCTAGTTGTTTATTAAGAGCGGAAAGTGCTACTTTACCGCTTAAGGTAAAAAGTAGCCGCGCGACGCGCTGCGGAATGCGGCATTTTATCGTAAGCGGCAAATAGCTTTCCGCTCGAATTACACACAAGATTTTTTTACGATCACACGATATTAGAAGTATATAGTTTTATTTTTCCGAATTTAAATGTTACTACGTTAATTTTATGATAAGCATAAAAAATATTTGTCAGTAAGTACATCTTAAAAATAACTTCCAAGATCATCGGTTAGAATTTTACAAAAAAAAAATAAAATTAGAAAAAATAAATAATAACTAGTGAGGATTGAACTCACGACCATCAGGTTCAAAGACAAACGCGCTAGGCTTTAGACCAACAAGACATGTTAAATATGAGTGTTAAAGACACGGTAATTTATTTTAAAAATTTTAATTATCATTTAAGCAAAATGGGTTTGAATATTAAATGTTCCACTAAAAGATTCAGATTAGTCTACATTTTCTTTTAAAATACCGATTAGTTTTATAATAACAACCTTTCTAATGAAAATTGGCGTGAACAAAAAGTAACTTTCCGCCTATATGCGGCAATGTCAAACTATGACCATTCATGGAAAACGTCAACTTTCCAGTTAGATTTGAATGTGCAAAAGCCTACTTTGGATAGTGATCGTAGAAAGAAAAAACATTTTTTTCACAAAAATTTTTAAAATTCTCATAATTTTTCAGTTTGTTTTCATTTAATTAAGTATAGATAAAATTTATGTAAAACAAACTTGAAAATAACAAAAA